ATCATTGGATGAGATGATCATAAACCAAGTGATGCTGATTCCGAGGTTCGATTGCAGTCATTGTTAGCTGCTAAGAAAGGGTACAAGGGACATATACACGACCTAAAACTCCGTTTAAGGAGGAACATCGATCTGAGGTGGTAACGAAGGATAGTAAAAGAGCTCGCAGAGTGATTTGTAGGTTGCATAGTCCTCTTTTTTCATGTACAAATTTTCTTACCCCTCACCCCCAACCCTATATCTTTCATGGTCATTTTGCAACTGGACTCCAAATGTGAAAATCATTTCTAGTTGTGAATACTTAGTTCCAAATCAGTTTGACATTTATTAAATGGCGGCTTCTTCATTGTTACAGCTCTGAGTATGTGGCATTTCTAAATTCTGAATTCATATTCAGGGAAGTACTAGTAATAAAAAAAAAATTAGCCAAAAGTATGATGGAGTTCCAAAATCAAATGATTGAACAACCGGGACGGGAGCAATTTACTTATGATACTTTGTTGACATTCATAAAAAACATCTAATGAATTATGAGTTCAATCCATCTTGTTTAACGGAACTGTAAAGATATGACACCTGAGTCTAACTCAACTCCAAAAGTTAGCTCACGATGGGAGGATTGCTTAAGTCCATACAAAGAGACCACCAATCCATTTCCCAACCAATGTGGGACTTTAACCCACTCTAACACCCCCCTTCATGCCCAGGCCCAACTGGAGCGTGGACCGAGAGTCCAAACAAGGATGGATCTAGCTCTGATATCATGTAAAGATATGACATCTATGCCTAACTCAACTCCAAAAGCTAGCTCATGAGTGGATGATTACCCAAGTCCATATAAGGAAACCACCAGTTCATTTCTCAACCCAATGTGGGACTTTTACCCACTCTAACAAGAACAATGGATATTTCTTGCTCATTATCAAACAATAACTTTTTCACAAACTTGGTGTTGGGAAAATTGACCCACCACTTCGTATTCTAGACAAAGGAATCCTGTCTAATTCACTAATTCGGCGGTTCTTTGGAAGAGAAAACATTCATTTTTCTTGTGTATTATTGTGGACTTGCTAAAATTGTTGGCATAATTAGCTGTGTAATTTCAGCGGGGTTATATGACCTCCACATAATTTACATGTGTAATTGATGATTTTGCGATAATTTAGGTGTGTTTCTGTGGAAAATAAAGAAAAAGTACATTATGGCTATGTCAATTGTATTGAGGGTGACTAGCCAACTAGGGATCGTGGAAAGTATTCTTTAAATTAAGAAAAGAATATTAAAGTGCAAATGTGTATGTGACTATGACAACCCAATAATATCCACGAAAAATTCTTAATTATAATAGTACTAGAATTGACTTTTGCAATATGGAGTTAAAAGAGGGAAAATAATATTCCTTCTTGTCCCTTTTTAGTTATTATTATTATTATTACTAAACATAATTGAACCCAAAAGAATCATTTTGAAAAATAAAAAATAAAGTTATTTAATATTTTTTCAATTAAAAAAATCTAAATTTGATGGAAAAGACACATAAATACGGAGTGAATGTTTATTGAGGAGAGTGAATAATTTGGTAAACAATTTTTTAAAAATTGTATAAATAGAAGTAAATTAGTCAAATTGTTCCTCCAAAATTCAAATCTCAATTTGTTCCTGACCGAGATGTAATTATTGTTGTTGCTCTTCTAATCAGTAGGTGTACATAGATAGAGAGACAATTTTCGATCCTCAAGTCAAGGAAAAAACAGTCCAAAGTAGTATAGAAAAAGAAATAATGAAAATGAAGAATCATGCCAAAATACTTTAGATAACCTGACAAATCCAATCCTAAACAACAATAATAACAAGATAAAATCATAATCAAAGTACGATCACAACCGTAATAAAAAATACTAATAAATTTCCTAGTCTCAAGTTGAAGCTCCTGCATATTTTTTCAATCGAACTTATTACACGAGATTTGTTTAGTATAATTTACTTTTTTTAATGTAACTTAAATGATTATCTAAAATAATTTTTTATAATTATGCGCGTCCAAAAAATACAAATCACAAAAAATAAAACCCCTATCAAAAGTCACAAGTCTTGATCCTTTTTTATTGCACAAAAGGCAAGACACACTCTTGGTTTTTCATCAACTCACATGATTTATGTTGGGATGTGATCTTCCCATAAAAACAAGTTTAAAGGAAAAAAAGATTACTTCATGTGGAATCTAGATCATTTAATAGGAGTGTTCGTCAAAAATAGCTAATTTAAAATAGTTGTTATTTAAAAAAAATGTGAATAATTATTTTTGATAGGTCCTCAGCTTAAAATAAGCATATTCAAGTAGTTTGAAAAAGAGAAATACAAATAAAAGTGTTAACAATAACAAAATAATGTGAAATGAAGAGTACCATACAACATACATAGGAATAAATAGTTATGACAACAAAATAATATGATATTCGAAGTACAAAACACAAAGGTGGCGCTCGACCTCGTGTGTAGAATCACTAAAACTTACACTCCAAATAATTAATCTTGATCTGACTTAACCTGAACGCTTTGGATTCTAGAATTCATCTCTAAACCTTCATCTAGCATTGACTTAGTCTTGTCAATCAGTATCATGTAGTATGTAACTAAAGTCATTTCCCAATATATTGAGTGTATTATATTCAAAGAAATAGTATAATAATTGTCATTCTATTTATTGATTCTTAAGAAATGTTCAATAATAAATAAGTAAAAATGGGACGAAAAAGTAGTAAAAATAATTTTTAAATGGGTAGTGTAAAAGATGACATAATTTTTGTTGGTATAACTTCTTGTAATTATTATAATTACAAACAAAATGAGAAAGAATGATTAATTAAGTTACATGCTCAATACACATTTTTTAATTTCTGTATTTGATGAAGCACCACCTACATCTTGAAAAAAAAGGAAAAGAACAAAAAAACCCACCTACTGCCAATAGTAGCTTTTACTTTAATTACTACTTTTTGTGATAGGATTATACTTGCTTTAATAATTTGGAAATTAGTTGTCAATTCAACATACTTGGATTGGGATGAGGGTCTGAAAAATATTTCAATTTTTGATCGAAATTATTGTTATGATATCAAACTTTAATGAGGACTATTACCCCCAGACTATTTAATACCTATTTTAAAAACATATATATTGCCCACGTGGACATAAAAAATAATGCAAAATTATAAATAGTAATGTGCCCACTTAGGCAACATATATACATTTAAAATACACTATTAAATAGTTCAGGGGGGGTAATAGGTCCTCTATAAAGTTTGATATCGTAACAATAATTTCGGCCAAAGTTTTCAAACCCTTATCCCTACTTGATTGGTCCAAAGAACATTGTTGTGTACCATAGTTAATTTTGCTTTAGGTAGATTCGAGGGAAGAAAAGGGATTCTTTTCTTGACTAAACCAAATCAAATGTAAACTTGTGTTTATATCTATAGATTTTTCCTTTTCTCATTCATGAGAGAGATCTAATTTATAGAGTTAAAGACAATAGTTGTTTTAGCGTTATCTTATTTTATGAACAGACATGTCATTTAAATTCAAGTTTAAAATAAAATTTGAAAATGTCACAAACTCTTTTAAACTCATTCCGCCTTCGATTGCAAGACCATCTTGCTCATATAAATTACAATCATATAACAAGTGAAGACGAATTTGCAAAAAAATTAAATCAAAATGTATAAATTTGAATTGTAAAAAAAAAAAATAAAAAAATTTATAGATAACCTAACAAAACAGTGAAGATGTTATGTTTATTATTAATTAATTATGCATGAACAAAACAAATCATAATTGAAATTAAAATTGTTGAGACTGACCTACTAACAACCATTCATAATTGAAAAAATAAAACTATTTATCATATGAATTAGAATTAAACATATATTAAACATGTTGTCTTATCTGTCAAAATTTAACATTTTCCTCTCTAGTGACTTAAAATGACATCATGTCATTGCCTTTATAAATTATTAAATATTATTATATTAATATAAAACTTTATTTGTTAAAACTTTTAAGGGTGGTCACATCAATAAAAACCAAACACTTCCTCCGTTCCAATTTACGTGACACTTTTTTAATTTGAGATTCAAATCTATCGATCTTTGATAGTAATTTTTTCATAAATATTTTAAATTATCAATTATTATGACTTATAGTACTTTTTATATAGTTTACAAATATATAAATTTCATTTCAAAAAAATTAAAAATTCTATACGTAAATTTTCAATCAAATTTAAACTGCCACATAAATAACGAAAAGTGTCACATAAATTAGGACAAAAAAAGTAATATAAAAGAAGACAAAATTGATTTTCCTTGTAAAGTTTTTTTTTTTTTTTTTTAAATATAAAAAAGAAATAGCAAGCTTCATGGCGGTGTGTTTTCCTGGTGGTAACATGTGTATAAGCTCCACTTAAACGTGGCACTTTCAACAGTTTTGTCTCTCTCAAACTCAAAGACCCTTTCTCCATAGCTCTGTATACATAATATACAGTGATTGTATACAATTCAAACTCTATACACATTTTCTCCCATATTAATCGGTGATATACTATATCCTTTTTTCAAATTTTTTATTCTTTATGGGGAGTTTCATCTGAATTATGAGGTATTTTCTCTGTTTCTTATCTTCTATTCTTTCATTTTTTTTTAAAAAAAAATTCAGATTAATTGGTTGCATGAGCTGAAATATTTATTATTGTGTACTATTTAATTGAAAGTCACGAGTAACGTTCTGTCTTCATTTAATTGTTCCAGAATTTTGAATTTATAAAGTTTCTGTTAAAACATTAGTTCATTTAATTAATTAATTTTAACACTTCAAATGGATTTAATACGTTTCTTTTTAGATATGGGCATCAAATGTGATTTTTTTTTTTATAAAAATTTGGATAGAAAAAGGTTGAGTTCTAACTTTGTTATTTCTGTGAAATCTATTTTTTTTTTTTGCATAAAATACTGATAATTCGGTGAGGATATTTTTTATTTACTAATTTTTTTTTTCTGGGTTCTTGATGATTTTTGGAATTTAGGGATATTGAATAATCACTCAATGGATTGAAAATTTCGAAGTTTTTGTTCTTGTCTGCTTATATTTCCCAGTGGAATTGAATAAATAAATATATACTGTTTAATGCCTGCATGCAAAATTAACAACTAATAAAATTAAAGGTTATTCAATGTTGATGCAAGAACCTTAATTCTGGAATTGTATTCCTCCTTTTTTTATTTTTAACTTTTTATGATGTCTTCTTTATATCTAGTTCCATTTTTCTCGAGCCTTTTTATGATCGTGGTGTCTGGATCAACTTTTGCGCACCTTGATTAAATTTCACGGGATACCTGCACCTCCAACTGGTAGCAAGATAACTCTGTCCACCAAGGCTAGGACAAGTGGGAAAAATCACCTAGTGTTTTTTTTTGTCTCCGCTGAGTGTGTGTCCATCCTAGGGAATATAGATATTTATGTGAAAACTCACAAAAATTCTAATAGATACTAGATCTGCACCCATAGTTACAATTATTTCGGTGTTACCACTGTTAAAATCAGTAAAGTTTAAATCTTGGATCGGCTCAAGCCTAATAAGCTTCTTGAATAGGTCTTCCAGAGGACATTATTCATTTAGAACTACAATTATTTCAGTGTCAAAAAGTGTTGGATCCGCTCAGGCCTTGGAAGCTTCTTGAATAGGTCTTCCAAACGATATTTAAGTTTCGATTCTCATAGTTGTGCCTGACATTGCATTTCCACACTTGGGAATACTTCATTCTACTTGTTGTTTCCAAGTTTCTTATTCATATTACATTATGGCCAGCCTTAGTAGAAGTTGGTAGCTGCACCTCTTTGCTATCGTGATGATACCAGTAGCTGTCAGCACAAATATAACCATTTCTTAGACTATTGAATTCCAACTCTGAGCTCCTCCTACTCTAAAACTATTGTGTGGACGGTCTCTCTGCCCTTCGGAGGTATTACCAGCTATTCTGTAGGAGCAGAAATGACGAGCAAGTAGTGCCACGATGATACAAAATGTGACTTGTCGTATGATGGTCGGTGGAGTGCCCTGACTTGGTGTGCGCGTGAGTAACTCGCTTCATGTTTTGTAGAGCTCGGATTATAAAGCCGTTTAGTCTCTTTCTCCCCGCATTATAGATTTATAGCATAGAGCCAATTAACTAGTCCCAGTTCCGAAGTATGTTTGGACATCAGAGCACAATTTAAATTATTGCCGTACGGTCAAACAAGGAGCATGTTGTAGATATTGAATCCCCTTTTTACATAAATAGGCTATTTCTCGTAAACACTGTTCCTCTCTAATGTGTTTACCAAATTGTTATCATTGCAGCTTGTAATGAGCAACCTTCGTTATATCATAGCATAGTTGCCTATGAGGGCATCTATCATGGCGGTGGCGTCAACGAAGAAAAAGAGCGTCTTTGTTGACAGGGTATGTGAATGCATAGTGGGGTTAAAAATCACAAATAATCTATTCCCTCTTTTGGAACATCCAAGTTTACTGTATATTGAACTATTGAGAGCGGAATTGCAGGTAACATGTGGAGTAAAGGTGAAACAGATTGCTTTTATGGGGATTATATGTACAATTATGTTTTTAATTGTGTATAGGACCACTAACTATCAGTATCAACAAACAGAGGTACGATGGTGCTACCATTTGTTCGTTACATACTTTTCCGTTTATTTATATTGAGAAAGTAGAGATACCTTATGTTGTGCCCTAGAACAATACAACCAGCCACTCTCCTGATAATCATACTTTCCTGTGCACCTTTTCAGATGGAGTCGAAATCGGATCCATTTTATTCTTCAAAGGTAGTTGCATTTTTGTTCTTCTCTATATATAAATTTGTAATTATCCGACACTTATTAGCTTCCGGTTCTTGATGAGCTGAAATATTTTGCATTTAAGAGTTTGTATCAATTGTCATTCTAATGCATTTTGTTCTTCCATCCAGGATTCTGATGTAGATATTACACATTTGAACAGTTTGCCTCGTGGTATTATCCAAGCAAGTTCAGATCTAGAGTTAAAGCCTCTTTGGTCTACAAGTAATTCAAAGTCCAAGGTGTTTCTCTACTCATTAAGTGTTGAATCAATATAGCATCTTCCTTTAGGATCTCTTATTATCATTGTTACTAGTTTTTCTCTTCTGCTCAGTTTTTCGCCCTCCGTGTTGCCCCTTTCAGGGTAGTGTTTCTAGTTCTCGTAACCTGTTGGCAATGGCAGTTGGTATTAAACAAAAGAAAAATGTTGATACTCTTGTCCAAAAGGTATAACATCTTACTCGTCTTTGTTTCGGAATTCTTGTAATTGACTAATCCTTTTCTGATTTTCAGTCGTGTCTGATGCCTGATTTACTTTAATTCAGTTTCTTTCAGAGAATTTTACAATCATCTTGTTTCACTACGATGGACATGTTGATGGCTGGTGGGACCTCCAATGGAGTAAAGAAGCCGTTCATATTGTTGCAAACAACCAAACTAAATGGTACGAATATGGTGAATGATTTGGAATTTGTTGAAATTTGTTTAGTTTGAAATCGGTGACTTCTGTGTTCCTAATCCCGTGGGGTTTTGGGGAGGACATAAATTAAGCAGGCTGATTTTCACTATGACTGGAGGGGTGGGGGCCTTTAGTATCTTAATTTGCGGACAAGTGATTGTTCTGCTCTCTCAATAGAAACAATGCAGAGTAGTAGTTGGGGTTTCCAATTGCTGGAAGTGTGTCTGTTAATAACTTCTAATGCTTTTGATGTTGAAAAATTAGTTGAAATACAATTCTCGAGTTCTCTCTATGATTGGAAGGGCTGTCTAAGACCCCTCCTTTTTATGCTGAACTTTCTTCACGCGAAAATTTACGATCAGCTTGTATACTTGTGAAGTAGAAGAACTCATTGGTACTGTTGTGATTTCCTTTTTACGCAGGTGGTTTGCAAAGCGGTTCTTACATCCTGCTGCTGTTTCCATATACGATTACATTTTCCTTTGGGATGAAGATTTGGGCGTGAAGAATTTCCATCCTGGAAGGTGAAATGCTTGCATAAATATGTCCTAAGTTAGATATATATATATAATCTTCAGATAAACATATTTGATATAAGTTTCTAATTTAATCCTGGTGAACTTTTGTTTTTATAGTTCAATCAACTTTTGCTGGATGTTAATTTCTTTTTTCCTTTTGGACCTTCACTTTTGTTTTTCCAGGTACCTCGAAATCGTGAAATCAGAAGGACTTGAAATTTCCCAGCCAGCCTTGGACCGGAACTCAACTGAAATACATCATAGAATCACAATAAGAAGCAAGAGAAAAGGTTCCACAGGTGAGCTGTGATACTCTGACTCCTCAAATTTAATGTTTTGGAATATTTTGGGCGAATATTAATGCACTTCTTATTTAAACAGACGAGTGTATGATAGCAGAGGTAGTACAAAATGCTCAGGTGAAAGCGAAGGTCCTCCATGCAGTGGGTAAGCTTTATACAGTTAATACAATTGTTATGAGCCGTGTGCATTGTCGATCTGGTTAAGCATTTGCATTCTCCTTGACATTAATTAATATAATGGATATCTTGTTTTCCAGTGTCATATGCTTTCATTTCTACATTACCTGTAGTTATGATCTATAAATGCTTTTCTTTTTAACAATTTGGATAAAATCTTGCTTCACGTGTGTGTAATTTGATGAAATCTTTTTGAATGTTTCAAAATCTACGAGAATGTGTATGATCAATACTCTTGATCTGCAGATTTGTGGAAGGAATGGCTCCAGTCTTTTCAATATCTGCTTGGGTGTGTGCTTGGCATCTTATACAGGTAAACTTCCGGTTCTGTCGGAGGTGACCACAGTTCGTGTCTAGATATAAAGCGATTTTTGTTTAAGCTAACCTAATATTCGGAGGATTGTTCTCCGGGCAGTGACTCAACTATCTTTTACTTGTGTTAGCTACTAAAATGCAACTGTTAACTATATCATCGTGATATTGTGCACTTGCTAATCTTCATGACTAGTTACTGTCCACTTTCAGTTCTGTTACACTGTTAAATGTGTTTTTATTGGATACACATCCTCCAACCTTTGCGCAATTATGTTTCACCTACACTTCGTCTCATGCTGAAGAATTCTCTGCTTGTTCATTTTTTACCTGCTTTCGTTTTCCACGCATGTACTGATTCAAACCTACTGTAATGAAATTCTGGTTATTGATTCTTCCTATCAGAATGATCTTGTTCATGGATGGGGAATGGACATGAAACTTGGTTATTGTGCACAGGTTAGATCACTTCTTTGTGGCTGCTTGGTTTTAGTTCAGTTTAATTTCACTCGTTTTAACATTTTCAATTTCATCTCTTCATACTAAACTGTCATTCACATCTAAGTCAAAACCTTATGAATTGTCCATCAACGGCTTAGCTTTTATTGATGAAGAGGGCACCTTTTTGTGTGTTGGCGGCAAGCTATGTATTAGTTTCTGGAGAGAGTTGTTCTCATTTAAGCTATTTAACGGGATAGAAGAATTCTGTTTTGTGTGCTGTCAATTATTATTTGGAAGTAGTGGATACATACATGATTCTAACTTATGTGGAACTTGAAATTATTGTAGGGGGACCGAACCAAAAAAGTCGGAGTAGTTGATAGTGAATATATCGTCCACCAGGGCATTCAAACATTAGGAGGGCCATCTCTGAAGAAGGTAACCTTCCGTTACTATATCCGTTTTAATTGGAGTCGTAAGACACAATTTTGTTGCTCTCTCTGTTTGTTATCCCAAAATATGTCGTATATAATTGCATTCAGGTTCTTATTCAAACTTCAGTGTAGAATAATATTTAGACATAATACATAGATAGACACT